CTCTTTAGGCTTTTAGGAATGTTAATAGGAGCTCTGCTACTATTGCATTGATGCATACATGTGCAGCAAGATAATTCGTTATAAAAAAAAAACATGTGCAGCAAGATTGCATGCCTGGACATAGCGCTGAGAGATGCAAGCTATGAGTCAATGGGTGATGATTTAATATTTTATTTGAATAATTTGAGTGTTATCAATATGAATAATAAATTTGATATAAAATATATAAATATTAATATATTAAATGGTATTTAAGTAAATCTAAATTTTTTATTTTTTTAGAGTTTTGAACAAATTTATATAAACTAGCATATATCATAATGAAAATTTTAAAATTTTTAATTGATAATATTAACTTTCAATTAATCGATCAAAATGAGTTCCATTAAAACTTTAAATTTCATTTAAAACGATTTTCTTACGATTTTAAAAAATACATTTTAATAAAAAAATTATATAAAAAATTATTTAAAAAAACAATAAAAACTAACCAACTATTTTCCTTAAAAGACGCTTTCAAGCCGCGTTCGTTGGTCGCTTCTCCGCCGACTAGATTCCTCCTCCCCAAGAAACTTGCAAGTCCTGCTCAATTTCCCATTCCATAGTAATCGCTGAGAAACTATAGAAGGCAATCGAGCCAGGAGAAGGCGTTCGAGTGAGGGGGGGGAATCAAAATGATTCTGCCGTTTATGAAGCTGGGAACGCTAGCCCTAAGAACCCTATCAAAGCCCATCGCTTCCAGGCTTAAGCAGCAAGCTGGCGTTCCGCCGACTAGATTCCTCCTCCCCAAGAAACTTGCAAGTCCTGCTCAATTTCCCATTCCATAGTAATCGCTGAGAAACTATAGAAGGCAATCGAGCCAGGAGAAGGCGTTCGAGTGAGGGGGGGGAATCAAAATGATTCTGCCGTTTATGAAGCTGGGAACGCTAGCCCTAAGAACCCTATCAAAGCCCATCGCTTCCAGGCTTAAGCAGCAAGCTGGCGTCCACCCGAGGTTCCGCGAGTTCATCATCAACCTTGCTCAGGTTAATCATCGATTCTTTTCTCATTCACATTCATATCTTGATGCGATTTCTCTGATCGATTATGGTGGTCTTTCGCTGAAATGAGTTAAAAGATTGCATCTTGGACTGAGATCCGTGTCACTTTTTCTGCTTCGTTTGAGATTTTAATTCAAGAAAGAAAATCAGAATGAGGAGAAATGGAGAATGAATGAGACTGCTTATGCTTTAAATTGGCTGTTTTCCTTATTTTCTTCTATTTCTTGTTTGATATGGGGAAAAGTTCACACATTGATGACTAAAAAATTTGGGTAATTTAGATTGAGATGCTAAGATTATTTACTCCATTGGGAGCTTCAGTCTGTCCTTGTTACCAATGTGAATTCTTATTGGCAGGTTCCAAGTGGATTTGAAGCTCGGTAAAGTGTGTCTTGTGCCCTTAGGGTTGTTTGGGTTCAAATTATGAAGATCTAATTTTTAGTATATACTTAAGGAAAAATCGGGCTCAAATTGATAAATGTACTACCCAGGGAGCAAAATTGAAACGAGTTGTTTTGATTCAACCAAGGGAAGAATAATTTATAAAATTCGTAAAGAGAGGTTTGGACTAATATCTTTGAAACATCCCTTTCACAGGGATATAATTTGAAGTTAAAAAATGCAATTAAGTTTTTTTTTTTTGTTTCTGAAAAAAAAAGATTTAGAATAAATTTAATGAATTATAAACATGAAAATGTTGTCTTATGTTCATAAAATGTGTTTCAAATGTTGCTTTATCAGCAGGAATGAACTGAAATTGAAAGCAATAGAAGATTTGCATTTACGTTTAGAATTTTTTAGACACCCGGCAGGAGATTGTTGATGGGAAAGTTGCCAAATTAGGTTTCGTTTGGAACAATTTTATTACTGCTTCATGAAGCAGTTTTGTAGTACAAAAATTTCAAATTCAAAAAAAAATTTGAACTAAAAATTTGCTTCATGAAACAGTAAGAAAGTTGTCCCAAATGAAACCTTTATGCGGGGTTGGTGCTTGATTCTGGTTGCGGGTAGCTGAAAGAATTGGAAAGAAGTTCAATATTAGCATTTTCTGGTCATTGACTACAATTGCAATAACACTAGCATTAGTTGTTTGGGTGTATGGAAGCTTGCGCAGTGGCTATAAAGATGAAATGCGTGTATGAAAGCATTAGCAGTTTGGGTGTATTTGATAGTGTATGATAGAATGGTATCATTAAGTGGATCAACTGCAAAAAGATGAAATGCACAATGGCTAGTAAAGAGTGTTGACATATCATCTTTCAAGATCGTGAAAAGGATACCAAGATGTTATTAAAGGACATATTTGCCAACAAATGAGAGCAATTGTCTGACCAGAGCATGGGATTGTTGTATAATGAAGAAAGATATTCTAAAGTTTAACAAATAGGAATTTCCTGTGGTGAAGAAGTATATTGTTTGCGTAATAGTTTTTTTTTCCCGCAATAAAAATGATGACATTAGGATTTATGATGATGCTATATATGTTCGTCATTAGTCTTATCACAACTATTTGGGCTAGTTTTTTGAATCCTCATTTTTTTTATTTACACCAACTAAATATTACAAAAAATGTTAAACCTATTTTTTTGCAAATGTTCTAAATAACTTATATCCATTTCTTCTTAGATTTATCTCCTCCTATCTTATATTTCTGCATTTATTTCATATATTCATCTAATGGGTGCATTTTTCTAGCCTTCTTTATTACATCTTTAATTGAAAAATGATGAAGCTTCTTTAATCCATCATTTAGTTGGTTGTAATTAATCAGAAATATTGATTTCAAACCTAACAAACCCCTCTAAAAACTCTCTCTGAAATGTGATTTCATTTCTAAACTCAAAATGATCTTTTTCTAAAATAAGTTTTAATTCCAAGCAGCCAAATTATCCCTAATTCTAGTTTCAACTAGCTTATCTTCTATAAACGCATCTTCAAAATCCTCAATAAAAATAAAACTATGCCTTGAAGTTTATGGAAACTTCTTAGTCATTTTGTTTGATAGGACATTTCCTTATGCATCAACATATGTTTCCTTTGAAATTGTCAGGGGTTATATATGTTTTATGCCGAAGGTATTATTTCATTACATGATTTTTGTAAGAGCTGCTTATGCTAGTTCTATTGTTGAAGGACTTTACTTTCTGTTTGTTAGAATGTGTTTTAAGTACTTTGCTTTCTCTTTCTTAAGATGTTCCAATTTTGCACCTGTATGCAGATGAACCATCGTTTCACTACAACAGTACAAAGGAGCATATATGGTCATTCAACTGATGTTGAAATACGTCCCCTGAATGAAGAAAAGGCTGTGCAAGCTGCTGTTGATCTCATTGGAGAGCTTTTCGTTTTCTCGGTTATCTTCCTTAACCCGAGTATTTATTCCCTATTAGTTGGTGCGATTATTTCAATGCATCACTTGAATACATTTGATCATAATGTTATCTCATAAAATTGCAAAAGAATTTGTTTCATGTTAATCTTGCATGCAGCTTCTTGGCAATTTTTTTGTCTAACACCCACCACACACTAAGAATTTGGTACACTTTTTATGGTTGGAACTTACAGTCATCCTTTACTTGCACCCTTAGCATGTTTGTGTAGCTTTATTGTAAATCATGGTTCTTTCACTTTGCTAGGTTGCTGGAGGACTTGTAGTCTTTGAGGTGCAAAGAAGTTCTAGGTCAGAGGCTAAAAAAGAAGAACTACGCAGGCAGGAATTTGAGGTGACAAACCTATTCTTCTTCTTCTCTCTCTCTCTCTCTCTCTCTCTCTCTCTCACACACACACACACACGCACATAGAAACAATGACAAGAAATATGATACGCAATACAATCCGAGCACATCCTTCATTAAAAAAATATAAGATATGAAAACATATTGAATATAACATTATACATGTGTGTGTAAAAAATTACATATTTTATACATAAACTTCATTATCTACCTCGTCTTTTACTCCATTAATGGAGTTAACTATCTTGTTGAACGTGAGCAAGCTTTGGTAATATTTGGATCATTGGAGCCGGCGAGATCTAGATAGTTGAAGATGGAAGAGGTAGCGACATTGATGGATCTAGGATGAGGAAGACGAGACAATGAAGTCGCCGCAGGACATGAGACAAATTGAAAGTCATTTTTTTTCTTTTTTTAGAATGATGGGGGAGACGATGGTGGCTGAGATCTAAAATGGAGTTTTGTTAGCAACATATCAGAGATGGAGGTGGCAGAGATCAGAGGTGATGTTCTATCAGCGGCGATCTCAACAAGATATAGGGTTTCATTCTTGGGTGAATTTGGGAGAGGGAACTAGAGTTGCGAAGACCGGTAGTGTATTCAATGATGGAGGAGATGGAGACTGGTGATGTGTTCTATTATAGAGATGTCAAGAGACTAGTAGTGAAGGGTGACTAAATGGGTGGTGCAGTGATGTCGTGACGAGTCGTAATGAGAGAGTGTTAGTTTGATTTTATTTTGATGTTTTGAGTGTTTTGTATGTAAATGGTAAAGTTTAGGTGGTAAATATATAAATTCTAATGTTTTATATATGATGTTTGTAAATCCCCTAAATTAAAAGCATGGTATATTAATAACACAAATAAATAAAAATGAAATGCATATGCTCCAATTCATATAATTATAAATTTGTTTCAATAACTCATTGAACAGCAAAAGGAATTGCACCAAGTTTGCTGGTGGATCGTATTGGAGGTGGGCTATATGGTGATTTCATAGGTTGGGCTGGTTTCGGTAAGGAAGAGCACAATTACATCGTTATAGAATGTCATTTCTAAGGATGCAACATGGAGATAGAGACATGGAAACATGATTCACTAAGGATGAAAAAAATTAGGGCTTAATTATCATTTTCAATTCTAAAAGTTTTTTAGTAGTCTTCAACTCTTCCACTGTTCCATTTCAACTATTTCACTTAACTTGTGGCACATGCGCCGAATACATTTTTCATTTATTTATTATTTTTTAATTGAATATATTAGATTTAAATGATATTTTGACTCTTAATAGGACACAATGAAGAAAAATGATTCATGTTACCTACCCTACGTAGTGGGATAAAGGTTTGATATTGTTGTTATTGTTATGTCCGACATGTATCATTTATTCAAATAGTTTTAGCGCAAGAAATGTAAGAGTCATGGCTAGGTAATAGCCAGATAACTCAGAGTAGCCCAACCAAAGTGTTTCAAGAGAGCATGGTTGAGCATATCCGTTGTTTGACCTACTCCAACACAATTAGTGGCAGTAACATTAACAATAGTGACCCTTAACACCCCTTTTCTATGGAATTTAGCTTTGCTGCCACACAAACTCGACAATCAACTTAGTGGCATGCAAACTAAGGCAACAAAATCTATATTGGTTTAACCTTATCATTTTCTCTTGTGATTGTTTCTTTCCTCATTTTATGTCCATCAAATGATTGAAAATAGTATGAAAACCTACCATCATTTGATCAACTGTAATTGGCTAGAGCAGTTTGGGTCCTTGGCAGAATAGTCATCTCCATATTTGTAAATGGCTACATTATTTTTAATGTAGTGCTATAGGTCGCGGATCATGTCATCCCTACCTTTGGAGGCAAGTGTAATGGACATTCCTCATCCTATGTTTTTCTAACATATTTAACTATTGCGTCGGCACCAACTTTTGAATATCTTTGTGTATTTTAAGTATTTTTTAATGAACAAAAAAATGGAATTTACACTTTGGGGTGCCTTTTATAATTTTTGCTTCCATGGGACAACCGGTTGAACAATCATTGAGTGATATCCTTTATGGTTGTAAAAAATATATATGTAGAGTATAATATCAAAAGGCTATGGTGGCCTTAAATCCAACAATTTGAACAGTAAGGTTGGCTTTGCGTCGAAAACTCTCCAAATAAAGCATCTTAAAGTTGAAGGAGAGCGTTCCTCCATAATCTCTAGAGCGAAGATGGTAGAGACTACCCCTCTTTATGTTCTTTCTTCCTTGAGCAAAACTTGTGATATTCTTAGGGAAATGAATTTGAGCAATATGTGTACAAGTTATGAAGGAAGACCTAGTGGTGGCGGATGAATGGCAGGAGGGATCTATATCGAATTCGGAACTTGGTTGATTTCCAATATTGGGGAGGATATTATGTTCCAACTATTTTAGCCTACACTATCTTACTATAAGGCTCTTTTATTTAGCTCAAATGTCCATTATGACATATTTTGATTGGTGGTGTTCTTACAAGGTCGACTTTCCGTTGCCAAAGTTTAACCTTTAGCCTAATCAACATGTCTTGTTTCTCATAGGGGCCGGCCGGCCGGCCCATGAGTCCCGTGCTTGTTGAACTAAAATGTTGGAACTCTATCAAACTCTTATGATCATATCATGTGATTATTCAAAACTAACATTGGATCAAGATCAAATGTGAGGGAGAGTTGAGAGAGAAAGGGAAGTAATCTTATTAGCTTCTAAGACAGAGATATGCTACATATCATTTGGGAGCTGAGCAGACTAGGTTCTTATTTGGAAGCATTAAATAGCAAGCAAAAAATTCTCGTCTCAAGGATCTTTTCATCCAGATAGGGGATATTTATTTTTAGGTTCTAGTAAGGAAGCATTTCTGTCTTCTACAACCAACAATCTTTTCACCTCATCAAAAATGAAAATCATTTAAGTCTCTGCTACTTCGTCAGTAGTCTTCGTGAACAATGAATCTTGATGTAAAATCCGTTGTAACTATCTGTCAGTCACCACTAATGTGCCAGCTAGGAGAAAGTGTGCCTTAACAGACACACCATATTCTAGGCAACTGTTTTGCCACATGGAGATAAATAACTCTGAGAATGCAAAGGGGATCTTTTGTGATTAGCTCTCCTATCTGACTATAGATGTTGTTTATCCAAGTAAAGATAAAGATCTTGGTGTACAGTTGCATAGCACATAACACCAATACTTATTGACTAATTTGTAAAATAAAGGTTATATATCTTATGCAAGTTTTTTACGATTATGAGGCTAAAGAAAAAGCAGTAGCTTCTCTTGGTGGTTTCATATGATATAGGAATTATTCTGTGCGGATGTCAAACGTCGTTTGGAGACCCATCAGAATGTGTCACGTCATCCCTTACTCGGTACCGTGGCTCAGCACCGCTCGGTACCACTGATGTGGCACATTATGATTGGTCTCCGGACGACGTTCTGTGTCCGGTCTCCGCACAGAATAATTTCTCCATACGATATCATCTATTCTTGAAAAATCATTGTCTGTTTCATATGAATGTTATCATGTAGTTCTTAAATGATGCATGACCTAGATTATAGAAAACCTCTATTTAGAAGTCCTTGTAGCTGAAATTGAATAACTAATCAATAATCATAATTGACTAATCTTTGATAAAGCTTGGCTTGGGCAGCTGTCATGTTTGGTGAGTTAATTATGTTTCATATGAATCAAAAACAGGGACTGCTGGCTCACCATCGACAGGAAAAAAACAAGAATTTCTTGTCTAAAAAAAATCGTTGCCAAGTTTAAAATAGTAAATTTGGGTTCTTTAAGCATGCGTAGGCTTCCAAATTTGGTGTAATAAAATAGAATTTAATTATTTTGAACCATATCAATCCCACAAAAATTATTATTGTAACAACCCAAATTCTTAACTATCAAGATATTGTCCGCTTTCGCCTAAGGGCCTCATAGTTTTACTCACTTTTACCTGTTGGTGTAACTTCCCTGTAGGTCACCCATCCCAGAATTACTTCGGGATGAGCACGCTTATCTGCGGAGTTTCTTACGAAAATTCCATCCATTACACCAAAAAACGTCTCGATGTTTAAAAGTTTAACTTTATTTTAGTTGAGGGATTTCACAATTATAGATTACATTTACATTTACATTGCAAATTGTAAATAGTAGGCTACAAATCAAGCATTGCCTCAGTTTTATTCAAGAAAGTTTTAATTGGTTTTTTCCATATGCTGAGTTTTTTTAAATTTTAACTTTGTTTATTCCCCTCTGGCTGACTCCATCCATCAATCTGTATTCTATTTACTTTTAACCCCTTTTGCAACAAAGCATTGGGCCCTTGGTACTGTTATTCAAAGAACTTCAGCCTAATTTAAAGGTTGGTTTAGGATGATTTCAGCTATATGCAAAATGAAGTGGTAACCATTGTGAGGAAAGCAGATTTTTGGGAAGTCACTGTAGGAATTAATGAACTTTCTTTATATAAAACAAAAAAGGTAAAGTAACATTCTACACCGTAGAGATTCTTAAAAAAATAGCAAAAAAGTTGCATCCAAATAGATTTGTGATAGTTGTCTTTTAAATAAAGCTGTAAAAAGATACCCTTAGGATATGTTTGGGAACAAGTTTTTCAAAACTACGCTTTCCATGCAGTTGTCAGGCTATTATTTTGCTATAACTTTCTTACTATTTTTTTATGAATTGATGCAATAAAAAGCATTTTTTTACAACCGAATTGTTAGCGTGATAGCTTTGAGAAAATCACTATCCAATTTTTTAAAAAGAAAAGAAATTATAAGGCCACCACAACAGCTTTAAAAAACCTATTTGTTATATAATAATTCTACAACCTAAAGATACTCTTAGGCTTTGTTTAGGATGGCTTTCTTACTGCTTCTTAAAGTAACTTTTTAGTAAAAAAAATAAATTTTATACTAAAAAGTCGCTTTAAGAAGGCAGGAAGAAAGCTGTCCCAAATGAAGCCTTAGTCAACAATTATTTTTTTTATTTATTTAAAGTTTATTTATTTGCTTTATGGTGTCAAATGTTGGCCATTAAAAGCAAAGCATAATATTAAATTAAGTGTTGCAGAGATGAGGATGCTTAGGTGGATGAGTGGCTTTACCCTTAGAGATAAGATATGATTCTTTATTAGATTTAAATGAGAATTTGACTTTTAACATGACACAATGACGAAAAAGGATTCATGTAGTCGATCCCACGTAGTGGGACAAAGACTTGATGTTGTTGTTGTTGTAAAGTTCATTCATTCACATTTATATATTTTGAAGGCGCTAAGGAAAAGGGAGGAGGACATAGCCAAAGAGTTGGAACTTCTAAAGCAGAAACTTTGTGAAGTAGAGAAGCAGTCCAAGGGATGGGGACTCTCAAGCATTCTTCACCTGAAGGAGCCCAATGCACAGATCACCAGCCATCCAGCTACTGTTTCTTCATGAGAAAACAATCTTTCCTTAATTTTTTTTGTGTAGCATGACATCATTTTTCCCCTTGTAAATCCAGTTTCAGTAATCGGTTTGCAAGGAACATTGTTATTTTTTGAAATAATATATTTCTTTCTTTCCCTTTTGCTTTTGGTGCAAAGAAATTTAGGGTTTTTTCCTGATTCATCCATTGCTACCTACTGTTCCTTGCTGCTTGCAGTGTCAATTAGGGGTGTAAATGAGTCAAATTGAGTAGAATTTAGACCTTTATCAAGCTTGGCTTGCTAATTGGAAAGCAAGCTCGACCTCGAGCTCGTCTCACTGTAAACGAGCTTGAGCAAGCTCGCGAGCCATGAGCGGAAATTTTTAAATTTAGGCTTGATTTTTAAAAATTAGGCGGGATTTTTAAAACTTAGTTAAAATTAAAAAAAATTGAAATGTTTAACATTTAAATAAAACTTAGGTAGTTTTTATTAATTTTTTTAATATTTAAATTTAATAAATAAAATTATTATGAAAATATTAATATTTATTCAAGCCGGCTCGCGAGCCAAGTCGGCTCAACCTCGAACTCGAGCTCGACTAGTGAGCTCGATAAACTCAGCTCGCGAGCCCATAAATGATAAATGAGTTGAGCTCACCATTCGTATAATTTATATTCTTTTTTTTATTTGAGTGATTATTTCAACTTGAATAGAAATAGCTGAACTAATAATCTCACAAAGCAAAATTTTCTGAGCACTCGTGGAGGAGCCATAGAAAACTATTTAAATCTTGAGATTTGAAGCTACATTTGTGTTGAGAAAAAAATTGGATGAATTCTTCAATTTTACTTGCAAACAAACACTAACTGATCCTTCATAATGCAAAGATTATAGTTATGATATTTAAGCTTCGTTTGGGGTGGCTTTCTTAATATTTTTTAAAACAATTATTTAATAAAAAATTTATAATTCAAGATATTTTTGTATTAAGAAAATAATAAAAAAACTATCCCAATAGAGAAAAACTATTCTATTTGGATGTCAAACGCCGTCCGGAGACCAATCATAATGCATCACGTGAGACTCAATACTACTCAACATTACTCTGTATTGCTCAAAACTTACCTCTTTGATGATTTTCCGCGCAGTTCTTTCACCTCTCACTCTTCTTCTTTGATAAACCATCTCCAATTCACCTCTCTTCATATATACCTGATGAATCCTAACATTTCCATTGACATACACTTCTTTAGACTTTTACCATTACATATTGATCTATAAGACAATCATAAATACTATAAAATAACTAGAATATATTACCTCAAATCTCTTTATTCCCTTTAAGTGGATTTTTCTTCAATGAATTCCCTTCCTAAAACTGCTGTAGGAATCTGAAATTCTTAAAATTATGCCAAAAATTTTCTAACTGCTCATGTTAAATTTAATCACAACATCACTTACTCAACCTAGTCTGCCATTCTTCTTTTCCGAGTACAAGAAGCCAGCCTTAAAATCTCTGAAATGTACAGAATCAGGGATCCAGAACACAAAACTGCCAGCCTTAACATCTCTGAAATGTGCAGAATCAGGGATCCAGAACACAAAACCGAATACAGTATACATCAGCCCTTTTACCGAATTTTTTCTACAAGGAATTCTAGCACAGACCGATCTCATGCATTCAGACCACCTGCGCGACTTCTCCTTTCATAACTGCTAATAGCCTCCTCTCCAACAACAAATTTTCACTCATCAAAATCGTGAATTGGCTTCCCCTCTTCCCAGGAAACGTCCGCCCTCCTCTTATCCAAAAGCAGAAACTGAAAACTGGACCACCAAGCAACCAATTGTCCAAGACTTGCATCCTTTCAGGCCTCTACTTATTTAAATAAAGTTTCTATTAATTAATATCATTTTATAAATTAAATAACTAAATTAAATATATTAGATAAATAAAAATTTCTTTACCCGTCATTTCATAATATTACACAAACGTCGATCGAAACATGTTCGAATCCTACCCGAACAGGGTTCCAAGCTTGGATAACATTGGAATTTTATTCGAACAAGATTCAAACATGATTCGACCAATGTTCAAATAAGATTCAATTGAAACTTTACTAAAGTTTGAGTAAGGTTCGAAAAATGCATTTGAGTTATGTCATGTACACAGATGCTTGCTATAATCATACATACATAGAGACTCAAGTCAAATAGAGTTGCCAATGCTAAAGAAAATTTGTAAATAATTTAAGACTAATAATCTAATTTTGTTCAATATTTAAGACACTAACAAACTATTTAACATTCTTTAATTTTACAATGATTATTTGACAAATGTGTGCTAAAAATCAATGCAAATGTGAACCTTTTGTTAATAAGTTTTGCATCCCAAATATGCCAATTTACTATCATGTCTTGATGAAAATGATTTAAATCCTGATAATCTTCAAACGTTTGTGCATTCATTTATGGCTTTGTTTGAGACGATTTTCTTACTGCTTCTTAAAACTTCTAATATAAAAGTTAAAATATTTGTATTAGAAAACTGTTTTAAGCAGCAGTAAGAAAGTCGTCCCAAACGAAGCATATATATATGTTGTACTAGTTTTCACCCATGGTAAAGCTTTCACCCATGATAGAAGAAGATGTCTACCACTGACAATCACAATACAGGGGAAAGAACATCTGAGCCACTTGAAAGATGGTTCCTCCCAAAGTCATGGCCTAAACATTCTTTCTGACGAGAGAACTATCTTATAGAAACTGCAGTTTTGAGAGATGATGATGATAAAAATATTATATTTTATCCCAAAAGAAGGATCATATCAATAACTATTCAACAAAAGATTGATTAATTACTAAGACAAGAGATTGATTACATAGTCTTTAAACTCTCTGTAATCTAAAATAGATTTCTCTAGACTTCATATGTACTTGATCAAAGAATTAAATTACACATAATTCAAAAAGGACAATACTATAAAATCAATCTGCTGTAATAAAAAAAAGTAGAGCCCCATAAAATATGAACCTACAAAGCAAAAAAAAAAAGAGAATGGGTAGTTGTCTGGTCCATTAGATAGCCTCCCAGGGGCCAATCATCTTTCCTATCTTCAATTGGTTATGATTCTAATTTTGGTTGTAGAGGATATCCAAGAGAGCATCCAAGATAAGTTCATTTGCACTTGATAATTGGTAAATTCCATGAGACTTGGGATATGTGGATGGAATCGCAGGACTTGACTTACTATATCTGGAGCTAAACTTCACTTTTCTACAGAGTGACTTCTAGCACAACCTAGGGATTCTAGAAAAGCAATGTTATAATAAAGAAATAAGTATAAGGCTTCGTTTGGGACGGCTTTTTTACTGCTTCATAAAACAGCTTTTTTTTACAAAAATTAAAATTTTTATACTAGAAAGTTGCTTTAAGAATAAGAAAGAAAGTCGTCTCAAACGAAGCCTAAGTGTTGAATATAAGAAGAAAGTAGGTTGTCATACAAGTAGCTAACAGAGGTAAATCAGAAAAGATGACAAATGAACACCATAAGTTGAAGAAAGAAGAACCCGAATTACAGGATGCTATCTTGTAGCTTGATTTGGCTTCTTTTCCATACAAGTACTATCATAACATTACTGCAGCTACTTCGATAATTCTGGATCTATTCAAGCACATGTGTGATATATGGTGAACCTCAGAAAATGCTCATAAAAAAAAATAAAAAAAAAAACTCCTTAGGTTTATCTATAATACAATCTTATGAAATTAGATTCCGAATTATTAGAAAAGAGCAGTGGATTGCATGGATAGCATGCCTCCTTTAATTTCACTAGCTAGATGACAGTTCACTTCTTATATCTAATCCATAATTTTCTTTTCTGAATGACGATTTTACCATGAAAAGGTTCAATTTAAAATGACAAATTAACACAAAATAGTTTAGCTAAGTTCTGTTTTGACAATGCAGTATCCAATTAACCTATATAAGAAGGCAAAAAAATGAGAGAGGACATGATCCTAGACTTCTCAATACAACAATTTTTCAAACATTTGTTCACCATATGATTTTATGTCATTGAGAATTGAATAAACAAATAATCTAATACATATTCATTACTTCTAATATTTTGGGTTTCAAACTCAAAACATAGTAAGTCTAATACCTGCTTGACTGTATCCTCCATTGTTATTCTTGAGATAATAGAGTTATGCATAGCTTGTTGAGCGGCAGTATTCTCGTTTCCCACCTCAGCCTTTGCTCTTCATCTGAACTAGGACAATACGACGTCACAGCTCATCCACGGCTTAATCATGTGCATGCATATGAACAAGGATAATTTAAATCATACCAGCTACTCTCCTCTCTTGCAAAAGCTAGTAGTTCAGCACAGTCATCAAGCAATGACCTTTCTTTTCTTAAAGAAGCTAAAAAGATCATAAGTATAATATAAATCATCTACTCTACTAAGATGAGTAGGGTGTTAGACCGGTCCAACCGGTTCACGCGGGACCGGCCCAGCGGAACAGAGGCAGAGGTTCCGCCTCTTCCTGTATGCGGGATCCGGACGCCGTTTTCTACAAAGCCATTTGGGAAGGTTTTTGAAGGAATTTTAGAAAGGAAATTGAATGTAGGGATTGTTTAGGGATTTCCTTTTGATTTGTATGCATTAAATAGTTTGTTTCCTAGGGTTATGGCATCTTGAATTTGGTTGAAAATTGAGATATCATAGATTTAGGTTTTCTTTGGGTTCTAGCGGCATCTAGAGATTTGGGAAAGATCGATCCTTCTCTCGAATAGAGGATCAATTGTATTTTGCTATTTTCTGTTCCCTTTTCATAAAAAATACAAATTATCTGCCATTTTTTGTGATTTTGTGCGGATTTTTGTGGAGAATTCTTGCTGTTTTTCAAAGATTGATAGGAAATACTTGAGATATACAAGTGTTTCCTATCAAATTGGTATCAGAGCACGTCGATCGAAGGGGAACCAATGGTCGGAAAGAAAGTGGAAGTTTTGGAGGGAGAACTTTGGCAATTCAAAGCAGATTTTGAGGAAAAGATGGCTGATTCTCAAAGTCAGATTGCATCCATCGATGAAAAGATAGAGGAAAAGTTTGCCATGGTGGAAGACATGTCGAGAAATTGCTTGAAGCCAAAATCAAACCGGTGACATCAG